TATTGATTAATTTAAGCTGTATAAAAGTATCGAAAAACTAAAATAATAAAAATGACAAAAGCACAACAAAATTAATATAAGTTAGACTAAACTTTAAATGAAAACTGAAAATAAAAATAATTAATTCAAAATATTAATAAATACTATAATATATAAATAATACTTAAATAACACTGCTAGTAAGGCATCATAGTGAAATAAAATATTAATATTAAACAAAAAACCTAAATGAAAATTAGACATGTTGCCATGGCAACTAACTGAAATAAGTTTAAGCTGAAGTACTAAAACTGAAATAAAAATTAATTTGTCATATAGAAGTATTTAAGAAAAATAAGTAAGTAATAAAAATGACAAAAGCACATAACAGAATTACTCAAACTAAAATGAAAAATGTAAAAAGTCAATTCAAAATATTATAAAATATTATAATAGAATATAAATACTAAAATTACACTGCTAGTAAGGCATTATAGTGAAATATTAATATTAGACAAAAAAAATTAGAAATGAAATAACTAAGTTTAAGCTGAAGTATTAAAATGATTAAAACTGAAATAAAATAACACTGCTAGTAAGGCATTATAGTGAAATAAAATATTAATATTAGACAAAAAACTGAAATGAAAATGAGAAATTTTGCCATGGCAACTAACTGAAATAACTAAATTTAAGCTGAAGTACTAGAACTGAAATAAAAGGAATTAATGCTGTTTAGTAGTATTTAAAATAATAATAAATAAATAATAAAAATGGCAAAAGCACATAAAATTACTCAAATTGAAATAAAAAAACTGAATAAATAAAAAAGTAATTCAAAATATTAAATACTATAATAGTTTATAAATAATACTCGAATAATACTACTAGTGTGTTATAGACTATACTGTGCAGTAAGCTTTTCATATTACTTTTATGCATGAAACGTATGCAGAATAAATTTGCTAATAATTTCATGATGAATGGTGTGAGGATTTCACATTTGTTCTGATTGTGTTTGATGAATGAAGTCTTCTCCCTTCTAATGATCTGATTGGTCTGTGTGTAGATCTGGGACATAGCGCAGGTGGTGGGCAGCAGTGTAGCGGCGGGATTCTCTCCTCGCTGATTGGCTGTTTCTGAAGGCACCGCCCACACTCCGAAATCAGATGTCATGGAAACGCTCACCTACCTGTCTAACTCTCTCGTCCTTCAGCTGTGGAGTCTGTGCAAAACGGACACTTCAACACGGTGTATGTGAATATGTGTGTCATTGGAATGCTCCTTGATTTTATGAATCTGGCCTTCATGTCTCTTATGAGGTATGATGACCTGGATTTGAGCGAGCATGAACTCAAGGTACTTCTGAAAGCACAATATTTGCGCCCTTTCTGTGTGTGCGCGCATAGCTTTGTCACAGGCTGAAGGTTTCTGGCATTTTGTACTTGTTGTATTCCCTCTATCCAGAAGTACCACTCTAACACAGGAAGTATTCCTTCATCCAACATCCTGTTTCTTCTTCAGCCATCTTTCTTGTTTATCCTTTTTACCCTTTTTGAATTTGAATGCTACTACTGGTCATAGTAACCAGCACTCGTGTTACCATGGAAATTAGTGTTCCATAGTAACAATGGAACATTCCCGTACAAACTTGTCGTTTTCCCTCTAAAATGTCAGGCAGGTAGATGAGGAACATTAAGTGTAGCATAAAATCCATGGAGCATTTTAGGATTAAACGCGTTAAGTTAGTACAGTAGTGTTCAGCTGTAAAACACTATTTATAGCACTAATCATCGTTCTCTTTGATTTTGGGACAAGTTAAAATATTCTGCCTTGCGAGTAAAAAAAAAAAAAAAAAAAAAAAAAATGTAATTGCAATTTTTTTTATCTCAAAATTCTGCCTTTTTTACTCGCAATTGCAAGTTATAAACTCATAATTGCAAATTTACATATTGCAATTCTGACTTTTTCCCCCAGAATTCTGAGTTTGCATTAATTCTGACTTTTTTTCTCCTAATTCTGAGTTTACATCTCGCATGTTTGTTTTTTTCGCTGTGGAATAAAAATGGTAATTGCGACTTTTTATCTCACAATTCCGACTTTTTCCTCAGAATTGCAAGGAAAACTCAGAACTGTGAGCGAAAAAAGTCAGAATTGAGAGATTAAAAATTTGCAGTTACCTTTTTTTTTTTATCCCATGGCTGAAACAACTTTCATTTTAAAGTGATGCTTATCCCCCAAATTGTCAGCATTTACAACATTTACTGATGTCTTTCCAAAACTGAAATCAATTACTTTCTGCTGTGGAACAGAAAATGAGATGTTTAGCAGAATGTTGATGCTGCTCTTTCTATACACTGGAAGTCAATCAGGACTGGGGTTCCAACAAAGCATCATAAAATTAGTCCATACGGCTTGTGCACTATATTACAACTCTTCTGAATCTGTATAATAGCTTCTAAAACCAAAAATGGCAAAAACGAACAATAAAAGTAGTTTTTAAGACCTATGCTTGATATTAATTGTGCTATATTCAACAAAATTAACTTGTTTCTTCTCATTAGCATGTTCGCATTATCTAACTTGCCAGTTTGCAGTTGGTTATGTGACAACCAGTGGTATTTTTTACTAATGTCAAACCTGACGAATAGACCTTAGTCAGGGTAGTGCCATATTTAATTTTAATTTTTGACAGGAATGAAGATGAAGCAGTGAGGGACCGATTGTTCAGCGGAAGAAAGGTCTTTCTATTTCAATATGGCGCCTAACCTGACTAAGGTCATTATATGCAAATGAGATTTGAGAGATGCGTTGGAGGTCGGGAGCTTTAACATTTCGGTCTTTTCCTGACAAAGCTATGGTATGGCTTAAGATGACTTTGGAATATTAATATTTCTGTATTTAACAGGTTTGGAGCGATGTAAGTAAGTGGTGACAGAAATGTCGTTTTGGGTGCACTGTTTCTTTAAATAGTTATATTTCTTATATTTCAAAACGCCTTCAGATTTGGCGCGTAAGGGTGAAGCTGGAAGTTTTAAGTTTACGCATGACTCACAATTAACGTCACATTGGCCAATGAGAAGAGAGAATTCCAAGCTGTTTACAAACATTATAACTGACCAGCGCTGTTTATGTTTTACTTTAGTTCTTTTTTTCCATCTTGACTTTCTCCTCACATTTTCTCTTTTTCACTCAGCTGTCACATTTCTCTCAGTCGTTCTCCCTCGTTCATTGTCTTGCCGAGTTCTCTGTTCCTTGCACTGAATTGCACAGTCTGTGTGTGTTCGTGATCTGACGGTACAAACGGCGTGTGCGAGTGTTTGCATTACATTTGCATTACTTTCACTTTTAAATGGCTGATTCGTGCCTGTGTAATGCACGAATTTCATATAATTACAATTTCAAATAATTTCATTCCCATTCATAAGATTTTCCCTGCTGAAAAAACAGCATATGCTGGTTAGGTATATTTTGAAGCATGGCTGCTGGTTTAAGCTGGTTTGAGCTGGTTTAAGTTGGTCCTTAGCTGGTCATGAGCTGGTTTAAGCTGGTCCTGAGCAGGAGCTAGCTGCTTAGGACCAGCACATGACCAGCTTAAACCAGCTTAAACCAGCAGGCATGCTTCAAAACATACCTAACCAGCATATGCTGTTTTTTTTTTCAGTAGCTGTAGCTGATTTTTCTCATTTAATGTAAAAATCAAACAGGGTGTGAAATGTAAGAGCTGTTTGTAGGCCTATGACATTGTTGTTGTGTGTGACATCATTTTTGTGTCATTTATGAAAGATACTGACGACGATTATAATTTCTCATCAGGGAACTGAGGGAGTTCTATTTTCTTTTTGTCAATTATTTTTCCTTCATTTACCATAAAAACTTGCTGTGAGTCAAGGGTGAATCACAGCAAAAATCTGTCAAGAATATGTCGTGAGATTCATCCCCGGAAAGATTTAAAGTCATTTTTGATTCGAGTTATTGCTCTTATGTGTCCTTAACATCTATTGACACTTCAGAGAGTCACACGTTTTGCCGAGATCGCGGTTCAGTTTAACCACCATGTAAAATCACACGCACTGTTTTCTTGATCTTCAGACGTTGAAGACAATGTAAAGTTCAACACGCTTCTAATGATCAAACCCTAAAACTGTAAATAACTCTAAATGACTTTGAGATCTGTTTTTCTATGTGCTTTTTCTAAAACTTACTTTACTTCAGTAGTTCCGTAATGAAGTATTATTCTCTCTCTATATACCAAGTTGAGCTGAAACATCTGTATTTTTCATACAAGAATCTTCTGCCACTAATATGAAAACTGACGTAAGTCTTAATGCTGACTGGTAGTTTCAGCCCAGAGATGAATGAAATATTACAATAAAGATCTATGCTGTATCTCATGCAAGAGATATGGATCTTCTGGTCATTTAAATCGCATGTTAAAGTTGTTTCTTGTTTATTTTTTTTATGCTTATGTGAACTCTAAGGGAAATGGTGATGGAAAATTGTAAGATGGGAGGAAAAAAATTACATTGCAGTGCTTTTGTGTTCACTCAAAAAAAAAAAACTGATAAATATTTTGAGATGGGTGGAAAAACCATATTTTAATGCTTTTGCGAGTGAATGCAAAGTTTCTTGGGGGAATGCAATATAATTTTACAGCAAGAATTAAACTTTTAGTAATTGCCATAAAAATATAACAATGCAAATCTTAATATATATATATATATATATATTTGCCATATACACCAGTGTTATTTTAGGATCATTGAGCTACTATTACATTTTTATTAATGTTTTTTTTTTTCTTTATTAGTAATTAACTTGTGTTTTTGCCATTTTTTAAAATTTAAATATGTCTATAGTTTTATTTTTATTTCATTTTCACTTTTAGTTGTTTAAGTACATTTAGTTAAACTAAGTGAAAATAAGAAACGCTTTCTTGGAAACATGGAAAAAATATTTTTATATTTTATTTCAGTTAATGTTTATTATATTTCAAGTAACGCATTTAAAAAATATATAATAACCCTGACATACACCAACACACCTTCAAAGACATTTATTAATGTTTGACAAAACTGTCAAAGTACAGTCATAATTAATAATTAATAGCCCAGTCTATAGATGTAGAAATGTAATCAAGTGTTATTGTCAGAGCAAATACTGATTTAAAAAAACAAACAAACAAACACTACACATCACTTCCTCATTCTCTGGAACGTCAGGTGACACTATCAAACCAAAGCAACATCCAATCACAGGCCTCCAAAAGCAGGCAATGTCCTTTTCAGGCAGTTTCCTGTGCTGCATCAGGTGATTGGCTGTGAGTGAGTGATTGACAGCTGGGGTGACTCCGGTCAGAACGGGTTCCCACCTGATTGACCTGATTCGTTGGAGTCACCGACACAGTGAGAATGAGAACTCACTGTGATTGGCTGAGATTGATCACATGGTGTCAGAACGAGCTGTCGGAAAAGAACAATTCCTGCGTTTGATGTGACCAATGAGAGGAGAGATCTGAAATGTACATGGAAGTAGAACAGGAAGAGACAGGAAGTAGTCGTGGTGGTAAAAGACTTAAACATATTCAAGCATTTATTGAGCATAACAGTCGTTCAAACTTTCTGAGTTCTGGAGGACATTTAATCTACAGCTAAAAGTTTGTTGTGAGATACTGTAAGTACATTCACACGGCTTTTACGGGTGAGACTAATGTATACTAATATGTTGTGTATTAGTGTTTGACATCTATTTATGATACATTTGTGTTTTCATGCAAGTTTCTTTAATGAGGCTGGAAGCTTTTGGCCAGATCCTCCATGACGCTCATGAATTTCTGATCTTCCAGCTGTGAACTGTGCGTCCAGGCCAAGGGAAGATGAGCCGACACCATCTGCCGATCTAATGCATGTAAAACATAAAGACAAAAGGATGTTTAACACATGACATCTGCACAAATTCACCTGGAGAAATTATTCCTATTGCCTGAAGAATCGATATATACTGTATGTATACAGAGAGCAGGTTAATTGATTATATACAGTGGGTACGGAAAGTATTCAGACCCCCATTAACTTAAATGATTTTAGCAAATGGCTGCAATATAACAAAGAGTGAAAAATTGAAGGGGGTCTGAATACTTTCCGTACCCACTGTATGCCTCTGTAGAAGCCATATGTCTGATTTCTCCCAAATTCAGAAGAACTGCATTACCCATCATCCTGAAGCAAAATGCACCAATCAGAGAAGTCACTGTTACCATGGAAACGAGAATCAAGGCCACAACAGTGAGTGTTTGCAGTCACAAGCAACTTCTAATGGTTACGTAATCTGAATATTTCTGAGATTTAAATATGTGGCTAAAATATATTAAAAAAAATATATATATATATTACAGTTATTAAATTGTACTTTGTGAGAACAAAGAGAGCTTAAGGCAACACACTACAGGCAAAACCTTTTTCTTTTTTTTCCAGGCACTGGTTAATTTTGAGATTAGACTAGTGGAAATAAAACATCAAAAATACACATTTATTTTATTACACTTTATTTGCGTCTGCAGATTTCACCGACAATGCGTATCTTTAAAGGCCATTTTCTCAAAATAATTTTTTTTCTCCACTTTAGTATTATTTACATACACAAAATAATTTACAGTTTTATCTATTTTCTGAAGGTTTTTACAAAGGGGGTTGTTCATATATAATTCACCTGATTTGTGAACATTTTATCCCTAAATTTTTTTTTTTTTGTCTGTTGACAGTATTTTCTGGTTTATGTAGTGATTATAGATCTCGAAAATCCCATCTGTAAAAACCTTTACCTCTAATATGTCATTAAAATTAAACAGGAATTTTGAACCTGGCTTTATCCAATGTTCAGATTTATGTTCTGGACATTTATGCAAATTAGTGCATTTTTATTATCTAATGCCTCATTAGCATGTTTACATTTCATAAAACTTGTAATACAAAACAATTTTCCTGATGTACTGTGATTAATCAACTTGAGAAAACTCTGAAGATATCTATTATTATTATTAGTTCATTTTTACTCTATTCACCAGTAGTCTTGCCTTGAAGTCTGAGTAGTGGCTGTTTGGTTTTCCCAGTCCCAAAAGGTCATAAGGTCACTGTGAGTTCACTCCAGCCGTGTCTGGCACAGAAGCTCCGCCCACTACAGCTGCACTGGAGCTCCGCCAACTCTCTTTTCCCTTTCTTGATCTTTCTCGCTCTTTCCTTCTTTCATCCTCCTTTTGCTATGCTCTGATTCTCTCTTTCATTTTCATTGTCCAGTCTTTCTTTGTACACTGATTGTATTCTCCTCGTCTTCTCTCTACTGCTCATACTTTTCTTGCTTTCATCAGTGTCTTTCATACATTCTTTGTCTCCTGAAAGGCTCACTTGTTTCATATGGAAACAGATGGATGCCTTATTGGAGGAGATGGAGAGAAAGACAGCAGCTTGATTCCAAAACCTAGTGCGCTCCCTCATTGCCCACTGCCTACATAGGCAGCTGCCTTCTAAGGGAGCATCCTAACTGACATGGTGCCTCATAAGGGACTGGTTTGGAACGCTCTACACAGGCAGCAATTTTGTGCACCACAGGAAAATCAACACATAATTGATTCCAATTTGACTTTTGCATGTTGCTATGCTCATGCAGAAACTATGAAACTTGTTTCCGCCATGGAATAAAAATATTAAAAAGTGAATTGCGACTTTTTATCCCAATTGCGAGTTTATATCTCACAATTGCAAGTTATAAAGTCGTAATTGCGAGTTTACATCTCAATACTATGACTTTTTTCCTCATCATTTTGAGTTTACATCTCACAATTCTGACTTTTTTCACTCATAATTCGGAGTTTGTTTACATGACATCAAGTAGACATCTTGCAGTTGTGAATTCCGAGTTCACATCTCCCAATTCTGACTTTAAAAATTCGGGCAAAAACATTGTGAGATGTAAACTCCATCTACTGAGAAAAAAAGAGATTCAAATTGCAAGATGTAAACTCAGAACTTCGAGAAAATTGTTTATATTTTGTAATTGTGAGATACAAACGTGAAATTCTGGAAATAAACGTTCATAGCATAGTCTAAGATGCATAACATGTACAAATATTGTGTAATTTCTAATTACACAGCTGTTTTTATTCAGATTTTTCAGTACTAAAAGAAATAGCAGTACATTTATGTCAGAATATTGCCAAGAAACTTGTCACAATGCATTCTGAGATTGCTATCTTTGCAAAAGATGCAATGCTGCCTTAATATTTCACAAAAAAGTGAACAATACCTAAAAACATCGATTCAAAATTTGCTTAATCTAATTTTAAAAATGCATGCACTTTTATGCATATTAGAGCATTACTTTAGAAACATGTTAATGCAGCTCTCTTGCAATCAGCTGTGGCTCCCGTGTGCTTCAACATTAGTAGTGCTGTTTATGTGGCACATGGAGTTGCATTCTGTCACTCATGAGATTTCATTTGCTGCCTATGTGTGGGTGTGTGTTTGCTCACCCTGAAAAAAATGCCCACTGGGATTCTTGCCAGCCGCCTCGGACACAGCGAGCCACACGACTGTATCGGCCCCTTGCTCCGGTGTCCGCAAACGCTCCTTCATAGAGCTGTGGAAATCAGGCATCGCGTTTGCAATGGCTAAAGAACGAGAGGCGAGAATGAATGAATCCATCAAGATCAGACATCATCAAATCAGTCTGAATAAATGATAAATAAATATCTGCATTTATGCATTTGGCAGACACTTATATCCAAAGCGACCAATGCATTCAAGGTATATAACACTGAACATGCAATTTGACAAATTAACAACAGCAAGCTTGAAGGTAAAAATGTATCTGTCTGGCGGAAACGGCATGTTTTAGGTGATGTAACTATTTCTTTCAATTTTAATCACATTTTTGCAGTTCACCCAATTTTTAAAAGGAAAAATATTCCATGTAGCATTTTGAAAATGCATCTATAATCATTCATGCACGGTTTAAATTTAGGATGATTGTGTGTGTGCAATTACTTGGCGTGTCGACCCATCCGGGGTGCATCACAGAGAAGTGGATGTTGGGGTGAACTTTAGCAAACTGCTCCGTCATCACCACCTGCTGCCTCTGAAACACACAGAAAAAAAGTACATAGAAGTCACTTCTGACATCACAAGAATAAGTAACAAAAAGCTACTAAAGTCCGTGAGACAGAAAAGTCATGCATATTTTTTTTTTTAAGTAATTTTTTACTAACATTCAAAAGATTGGGGTCAGTAAGATTTTTTTGGGGGGACAGAAATTAATACTTATTCAGCAAGTATGCATTAAATTGATCAAAAGTGACAGTTAAGACTTTTATGATGTTATTTCTATTTCAAATAAAACGCTGTTCTTTTCATTAAAGAATTCTTACAAAAAATGTATCACGGTTTCCACAAAAATATGAAGCAGCACACATTGAGCAGCAAATCAGGAGAAATGGCTGCTGAAAATTCAGCTTTCATCACAGGAATAAATTACATTTTAAATTTATATTCACATAGAAAACGGTTATTTTAAATTATAATAATATTTCACAATATTGCTATTTTTGACTATATTTTTAATCAAATAAATGCAGCCTTGGTGAGCAGAAGAGACTTCATTCATAACAAAAATCTTACCAATCAATCCCTAAACTGGGACTCGATTTTCAAAATGTAGTTAAAATGCACTAAACTGCAGTACTCAAGTAATCAAACAATGACCTCTATAACATAAATGGTACCTACAATGACTGTGCACTGTGTAAACAATGAGTGATGTATACTATACGCGCGAGAGATCATTTCTGGCGCTTGTGTAAACTACGCCAGAGCGCATACACACCTCACGCACCAGATGCCGTGCGCGCGCCCAAAGACAGTTGCACATAGTGGTGTATTAGAGGAAAAAATTATATAAATATTGTTCGGTTTCTGGCACAAACCGATCGTTTCGTGTCTTAGGACATCAATGTGTCGTCACGAGCCGCAAATTTTCATTTAGATTTGTCTGTGCATGTTTTTTTTACAATCATAGATTTTGT